GGATAATCCATTCCTATTGGAACGGATTAACCGGTTTCCAATGCATTCCTATGGGAAATGGTGCTTCACATAACGATGTTTTCACATAACGATATTTTTTTGGAACCAATTAACATCGTTATGTGAGGCACCACTGTAATAACATTTTTAAACTCGATTTGATCTAGTTTTTGAATCTTCTCATGGTGTATTGACAGAGCTGAACATCCGTCAATTCCAAATTTCATTTGGGTTATTTTCACTAAATATTTGCACTGTGTTTAGCAGTGATTTGATCTCAGTGGAACTTTTTGCATATAGTTTTATGTAGGTCCTTCATGTGTAACAGATGATTGATTTTTCCTGCTTGTTCTGAAATACAGTATCCCAATCCAGTTTTATTTAAAAATATTGACACGTAGATTAGTGAGACGTTAAACAGCAATGGTGAAAAAGAATCTCCCTGAAATATTCCTCTTTTGATACTAACTTCCCCAATTTCTTCACTATGGGCCATTAAGAAAGTTTTCCATGTTTCTATGTTTTCCTTGAGGAACTGATGGATGTTTTTATTAATCCCAAACATTTTTGGCAGGTGTTAATCCAGCTGTGTGGTAATGAGTCAAATGCCTTTTTATAGTCTGTCCAGACCATGCTTAAGTTTGTTTTCCATCTTTTTCCATTCTTCAGGATCATTTTATCAATAAGCAGCTGATCTTTTGTGCCTCTTGACTTTTTAAAGTTCCCTTTCTGTTCAGGTGGGTATAGGGAGTTTTGGGTAAAGCAATTATATATTGATCTTGCAAGTACTCCTGTGAGGAGCTTGAACATTTTTGGAAAGTGTTTAATTGGTTGATAATTACTGGGTTCATTGTCCTTTTGATGATCTTTTATTATCAGAAATATGTGGCCTGTTGTCATCCAGTATTCAGTTGTAGAATTTTGGTTAAATTGCACTCCTATATGTTGATGGAGACCTGTTAGATAGTGTAACCAAAATCTGTGCGACTCAACTGGACCAGGTGCACTCCAATTTTGTCACAAAAGGGTGACTACTGTATCTTTTGTATCCCAAGAAGAACAATATTAAACAGCAAAGGACCTCACAACACACATTAATAAATGCAGAATGAATTTACTTTATTACCTATTGATTACAATTTTAAATAAAGGGGCTTCATGCATTCAGCACATTCACACCACATACATACTCACCAAAGAGAGAATTCTTAATTTGCATTGTCCAAGTTCCAAAGAACGTAGTTAGTTCCAAAAGTCTTTTGGTCTTAGCAGGCAAATTATGGTTGCCCAGATCCTCTTTTTATATTCTTTTTAGGCAGGTTTCTAGCTGGGCATGCACATTAGATATTTCTTTGTCTCCTCTTAGATATATGGTCCTTATCACTTATTATGTATGGAATGTTTAATGTGTCTTCCATCATTTAGTGGACAGGTATGGAATCTGCTTTGCTCAGGAGGATCCTCATACCAGGGTCTTCTTAATCTGCTTTGCTCTACTCCCAGCAGCAGATGATTTTTTTGGTCAACTTAGTTCAAAACGTTCACAGTTCAAAAGATGAATTTCTCACAGTGAGGGCTTCTAGCTAGAAATAACAAAGTCCCGTAGTTCCTCTGGTTCTGTTGGTTTCCATCTTTGTGTCCTAACTCTCTCTCTGGTTCTTTACCTGATCCAGGAGAAACATGTACACACCTTACAATTTTTCACAACCTTTACTTGCCTGTTAATTTTGCTAGTTGTTATTACAATACCACCCAATTGTTTTTCTTCAGTTTCTTTACAAATGTCTTTAGTCCATGAAGTGTTTTTGTTATGGGCTTTCCCACAATCCTTTTCAAAAATTTTTAGCATCATCTTTACATGGGCCTAATTTCTTTTGCTCTACATTTTCTCCTAGTGATATGTAGAATAATTGTTGGTTATTTCAAAATTGCATGTTTTCTCTATATTGTTTCAAACATCCATCATATCTTTCAATTTTCTTTGCTGTAGCTTTTACTCGCTGTTTTAATTTTTCCATAGTTTCAATAGTTGTTTTCCTTTCTAGGTCATATATTTTGCATAGTCTGGCTTTTACTTTTTCATTTTTAAGTTCTGAATTTTTAAAAGTTCCTAATGTCTGCACCTAATTTATTTTTCTTTCCAGTGAAATTTTCCATTTTGGAATGCAGGAGTTTTCTGGTTTTTTTTTTCAGCTTCAAACCAAGGTCCATGGTTATTATTGCAGCGGTGCTACACACAAGCTGATTTGTTTCCTTTAGCATGTTTGTTGGGATTGTTCTGATGACAAAATTTGCATCATTCAGTAGATCTTTTATTCATTTACTTTGTAACCGGCACAAATTGGGGAGCCTTTGTGTTTCTGTGTTCTGGCTAATATAGGTTACAATTTTTTCATCAGTGATGTTTACTATTCTATCAGCTCATAATTTCTGGGTTGTTCCATACGGTTTTCCTTTATTGATACATTTTCTTCCACTATTGTGTCTACTTCTACTCTCCATTTGTTTTCCATATTATGGTCATTGTTCTGTGTTGATTTTGCCACCTTTTCTAGTTCTTGCAATTCCAGTTCTGAAAACACTTTACTCCAGATGGTAAACCTTCTCTGGTAGATTAATCGTTGTTCAGTTTTGTCACTACTTGGGCGTTCCATTCCCAAATTTCTATCATTCTTCTTCTTCTTCTTTTTTTTGAAAACCATGGGGTGCTGTGTTTGCCTCATAACAACATTGCATAATTTCTTGATTTTTGGTGAGAGTCCAAGTTTTTTGTTTATGTTGTTCCAGTAGCTTTGCAGCAGCCTGCCCTGGTCCCTCAACAGGGTCTGCTGAGCCCTGTAGCCCATTTGTCACCAGATGCCCTTGGGCTATAGCATCTGTCATGTTCCTTGTTGACCTGGGCAACAATCGATCCAGTATGGATTTCTATTTATTCCCTTTGATCAGAATTGATGGTTGGTGAACACAATTGGTTTGGCTTCTCAGCTGAGATCTGTCTGGCTTGAAAGACCCTTCAGCATACCTCTCATCGTCACTGAAGCTCACATGCTCATCCACCTCAACAAGGCCTGTGCCCATGGAGGGGATGATGATGTTGATTGTCAGAATCACTTATCCCTAAAGAGAAAATGATCATGGGCAAGGAGTCAGTATAGGTGACCACCACTTTTACCTTGAGACAGGTCCTTAAACCTCAGAAATGTGTAGTCCTTGCCCTATGCACAAGCTCGACCTGAAATAGAGCCTCTTGCCTGTTTACAAGGCAATCAACCATCGACTCTGTGCTTCTTTAGACAGCACAACAGACTGGCTAGGTAGGACTTCTTAGTTATAGTAGCAATTAGTGACCTTTTCACTCTCCACTGGATTTAGGTGCAATGCTGCTGTTCAAGAGACAAGTTGAAGAATAATTGCTTTATTAAGAAAATAAAGTAGTTCCATTAACACAATTGTAGCTTAAAAGCATAAAAGCATAAAAGCCGCCTAGAGTGGTCTTAACTGACTAGATAGGCGGGATATAAATAAATAAATAAATAAATAAATAAATAAATAAATAAATAAATAAATAAATAAATAAATAAATAAATAAATAAATAAATCATAATCATATCCAATCAGTTACTGTAGCGAACACCCCTGCCCTCATTTGTCTATCACAGCAGAACACTGGAGAAAAAGCCTATGAGGGGAAGGCAGACCCAAAGGGGGAGGGTGCTGGATATAAAGACTGGTGTATGGAGCCTGAAAAAGGAGATTCTGGTAGAGAGACAGACTGTGTGAAACTTAAAAGTGAACTAAGAGTGAGCTAGAGATCTGTAAGAACGATGAATGGAACAGAGAGTTAAAAGAGTTTAGTAGTCGTAACTAATTTGATTCAAATATAAGTGATTAGCAGCCTGTGATTTATCTATTGAATATTAATAATACCGTATTTGCTGGCTTATAAGGCGACTGGGCGTATAAGACGACCCCACAACATTTCCACTCAAAATGTAGAGTTTGTTATATACTTGCCATACAAGACTACCCCCTCTTCCGCATGCGTGATTCTGCTTTGGCTGTATCACGGGGAGAGTTCGTTTTGCCGCTTTTGGTTCCTTTTGCTGGGAGAGAGCGAGGGTTTGCTGGAAGAAGGACAGCATGGGCGCCGAACAGCTGACTGTCGGGGACCAGCAGAAAGACGGCAGCCATCTTGGAGAGGCGGCAGCCATTTTGAGAGGCAGAAGCCATGTGGTCGCATCTCAAAATGGCTGCCTTCTCTCTGCTGGTTCCTGACATTCAGCTGTTCGGTGCTAGAGTCAGGCAGTTCCCAGGCTTCCAAGAAGGAGCGGGGCTCAGTCTACTGGGTCTTACTACCAGGTAAGTGACTTTGCTGGGAGAGAGGGAGAGTTTTCTGGACATGCACCCGGTGCACAAGATGACTCTCCCACTTGGAAGCATGTTTTTCAGGGCCAAAAAGTCATCTTGTACGCCAGCAAATACAGTATATTAACTTCCCTGATCTAATAAATGACTTAAATTTTAAAAGCACACATGTCTCCATGATGAAATGGTATTAAAGCAGTAATACCTGGTGGCAGCGAAGAAGGAAGAAGAGCAAGAACCTTGTGAAGGCCTGGGGGGATAGGGGCTTCAGAGGAGATCGCCACAGTTACCATGATTAAAATAAGCTTACTATTCCTAGGTTAAAATAATACAAGCTAAACTAAGTTAAGTGATCATTTTGGCAACATTCTACATCTTAGCATTCTAGAGAAGTTGGGCGAATCTCTCCCGCCTCTCTTTCAAAAAGACAAACTTCTCTCTTTTCACATTCCTCAACACCAACACATCAACAGCTTATCACATACATGAAACAACCATTTTTCTATACATCTTTGAACAACCTTCTTTCTGACACTTCCAAGCTGTCAATCGATTAGGATCATGAGGGCTTTCACCACCCCTATTTCACACGAGATCTTGCAGGTGTCTTGTCTTACCCCACTTAAGAGGAATGTGGTATTTGGTCTTCTCCTCAAACCTTGCTCCTTATCTTGGTGCCAGGCAGAGCAAACTTGGAACAACAATCCCATGAGAACTTTTCAGTGGTTTAAATCCAAACTATACAAAACCTAACAGACTCCATCTTTGTCTGATTACAAGTCCCATTTTCTTTCTAATTCCTGACAATGATGTTGATGATTAAAATATCAAGATGTACCAGAATAACAGGCGACAATAAAATAAAATATGCTCACTCTGAATTTCGGGGTACTTCATCATTATCAAGAGACCCCAGCGCAGAGTAGTAGAAGTGGTATCCATGCCAGCAGCAAAGAAATTTACCACAACATTTTTTAGATTTTCGTTATTGAAATGGCCACCATTGTTCTTTCCCTTCTCCTGGAAGAGAAAAAAAAAACTGGTTAAACCAAGCGGAGTGAGAAATTTGCATGGGCACATACAACAGTAAATAGCTAAAGGCTGCGAAGACATCCATGACATCAAAAGTATGAGATTGAACAAGTCTAAAACAAGTTTCAAAAACATCTCTCCCACGTCTTACATTTGAGTCACATATACTCTTAAGCATTTAATCCTTTCTACAAAAATTTAAACTCTGACAGTTCCCTCCCCCCAACAGGTGAGTGTGGGTGTCTTGCTTTTACGTTTTATCTGTTGCTGAATAATCGAATTTGGTTATATTGGCAACAACCATGTGATGGAAACAATAGAAATACTGGTTTGAAATTTTACATATGAAAAAAATTATAAAATTACGCAAGAATGCTTGTGGTCTGAATGGAATAGCTCATCCCAAATTGGTGGTATAAGCTGTCCTCTCCCTGCTGCAACCAAGTGCCACAGACACACAACACATTTACTGTTAATCTCCTTTATTTTCTTTAAAACATTTAATCTCATCCTTTAGCCAGGAAGAATTGTGCCTGGAGAGAAATGTCATTTGTTGTTAACTGAATAAAGTTTAATTTCCATAGGTGAATTTAATGCAGAGTCTTGCTCTTAAAAAGACAAGTTAATTAATATATGAAGGATCACTCAATATTTAAAAACTGATGATAGTTTTTTTCATTTAAAATAAAGCATTCTCTTGGTGGCTGTGGGTTTTTGAGGCTCTTTGGCCGTGTTCTGAAGGTTGTTCTTCCTGACGTTTCACCAGTCTCTATGGCCGGCATCTTCAGAGGACAGGAGTAGGAACTCTGTCTGTGCTCTGTCTTTCTCTGTTCCACACTTAAACAATTCCATTACCTCTTGTTGCTGGATGAGAAATGTATCAATGAAGCTCCGCTGATTGTTTTTATCCAGATTTCTTAGATGATTTATGAAAGTGGTTGTTATAAAGGCATGCAACTCATCTCTGTTATTAAGGATGGTCTTACGAGCACCAAAAAGGAAGCCAAATGCAGGAAACATGTTATACAGCTGAAAGTATAAAATAAGGGAAGAGAAGGAAATATTAAAGTATCCCAATACTTGCTGAGATATTTAGTTCTCATGTGAACACTTTGAACATTTTGTTCTCTTGCCAACATTGTACATATATTACATTCTAGAATGAAAACTCGATCATGTATTGAGGTCATTTAATAATTTTTACTCAGTATTTCTTAAGGACTGAGCATTTTTCCAACTTTCCTTCAACCCATGATAGCATACTTTTCCCACTGTCGACCTATCATGAGGTTCTCATTGGTATTAATGAAGTCAAAGCAGGACTTTAAAAACCATACTACCTGTGGTTTTCTACACACACATCCCCAGCGGTGTTTGATTTGTTCCACTTCACTCTGATTTCCTCCAGTGCATTATATATTTGTCTGGACCCTAGTACATCATTATTCCATACTGATCCAAAAACATTTCAAGTGTGTGTCATTCAGTGATGATTCCTAATGAGTAAGTTTCAATTTTCCTTCCTTCCTTCCTTCCTTCCTTAGCTCTACATTCTTTTCCATATAAACATCATGTCAACAACTATGTCTTCAATTTTTAAAGTCAGGCCACATCATTTTATAGATCTGCCTTGGGTCCTTTTAAAGGAGAAAGGCTGGGTAAATATATTATGAATGAATGAATGAATGAATGAATGAATGAATGAATGAATGAATGAATGAATGAATGAATGAAGCAAGCAAGCAAGCAAGCAATCAAGCAAGCAAACAAGCAAACAAGCAAGCAAACAAGCAAGCTCAGATGGATGTGAAAGAATTAGCCAAATGGAAAATGCTGCAAGCTCTCTTAAAAATGTACTTAATCGTATTAATTGATGTTTTAAATAATGGCGGTCTGGTGGAAGACTGTCCCTAGTGTTACGGGCCAAAACCCATTTTCTAATTTGGTCTCTGGCAAGAGATCAGGTGAGACACAGCCAGCTGAACCAAAGTCCAATATTATTGAGAATAAGCAATACAAAGTTACCTGGGACTTCTCGTAAAAGCAGAGAAGACCCCCAAAATACAGCGTACAGTGGGGTCTTGACTTAAGAACGGCTCGAGTTAAGAACATTTTGACTTAAGAACCACTCTAATAGGAAAATATTGACTTGACTTACATACTTAGATTTGATTTAAGAACTGAAAAAAAACCACATGGGAGGCAGGGAAAGGGCAAAATTTGAACTTTCAGTTAACTGTTGGCCAGTGAAAAGGGTGCCTGTCTGCTTCCTCGCTCCTCCCAGCGTTTAGAGAGTGGATTGGGAGACAGTCTTCGAACTGCCTGGTACTGTATTGCCTGGACTGTATTTTCCCTGCCTTCCCTGAACCTTTCTTGACCTAAGAAAAAAAGAAACAAAATAGCCCCCTCTAGTGGTCGAAGGAGGAATAGCAGCTTCCCATTAGTTTCTATAGACGGAAAAGAGCAGATACGGATCAAATGGTTTTCAATGCATTCCTATGGGAAATGCAGATTTGATCTGAGAACTTTTTGACTTGAGAACCGCCTTCCAATACGGATTAAGTTCTCAAGTCAAGACCCCACTGTACAGATATTTTGTAGCATAACAAAGAGCCATAAAGTTCAACAGTTCTATTGGTTAACTTTTCCTAAAGTTTGGATCCTGACCCTAATTGGGTAATGATGCCAAGAATTACAAAATTATTGGTCCCCTATAGGTATATGTAAGATGCCCCAATTCCCCTTTGGCCTACCCCAGAGATGTGCCTTAATGTCTGGAAGAAAGTGTATTCCATTTTCCTTATCTTTTGATATGTTTATGTTGCCTTCCTGGGCCTGAATGTATGGCCTTCAACTTCTGGCTCTCTGCTGGTTTTATGTTGCAACTATCTCCTCTCTATGTTTCTGGAAACATTCCTAAGCCTGGCCATCTGCTAAATCAAAGGTGAATGGGTGGAAGGTGAGAAACAAGGGAAACTTTATGCTACCCGAGAATGCCTTTCTCTGGCTCAATGGAAGAGGTCTAGTCACCTCTAAAACTGTGTTTGACCATATCCCAGGTATCACTAGCTTTCAAAGCAGAGTTTAGAAGAGGTTGCATGGTAGGATATGCTCACATGACAAGTTATCTTGAGCTGACGCGAACTTTTATATATTCCACCCTGTCTGTGCTGGTGAATTTGCTGCCTTTGTTCACACAGAAAGGTTTAATTATCCTGGAAGGTGCATTTCAGGTATCTATACAACAGGATCAAGTGGTCTACATTTTCTTCCTACATCACACAGGATCCTCACTATTTCACTCTCCTCTGTCTTTGTCTATACCTTTCCTCTTCACTGCCTCTGCACTGCTGCTGATTCAACTGCTGATAGCTGCTGTAGACTCATGAACTTACATCAGTTTTTAATAAAACATAGAAATGTGTTATGCACATGCTTACAACAGATTCACAGATCCTATTGTTGTAGTGTATAACTAGGCTTTTGTTATGTTTTACATGTTATGTACTACTGATAAAAATAGTGCTGAGCTGGTGAGAGGCATGGCCAGTTTGTTGAGAATTTTTTACTCTTTCTCTTTTTTACTCGTCTTTCTCCTTTACCTTATTTTCCTCTTCCTTCTCCCTTTCCCCCCTCCTCTCTTCTTACAGTCCTTCCCAGACACTAATTAGTGCTGTCAATTAGATATATTAAAAGGGCTTGGTTGGGAGATTCTGCCCCCTCCCCATTTGTGTGTGTGTCTTGAAGTGGATAGCTGTCCTCCTCTCATTCGTCTCTGCATCTTTAAGCCTGTGCAAGTGGCAGTGTGTATGTGTGTGAGAGAGCAAGAACTTGTGTCTGTACATGCTTTATGTAATTGTATACTCAGAGCGCTTCCATCTGAATATCCATGGCTCCTTCTGCAGCTGTGGCTGCAAGAATGGGAGAGCTTTGCCTGAAAACCCAGATAGGGTGCACACAGGCAAAGGTACAGTGGCTGGCAGGGGTGAGCCAAAGCTTACTTTTAAAAGAGGAGGTCACCTCAGCCTCTTCTCCCTAGAATGCCCATCCACCCTCCCAGCCTTTATAAGAATGAGTGTAGCTGGTCACTCCAAGGCCAGATGGGAATTTTTGAACTGTAGCTGTAATTGGCTCACTTAGGTACAAGTGTGTTTTCGCCCATCCCATTCTTATTTTCATTTATTGCCAAATTTGTCTGTTGGAGCGTGATGTGGTGGCACTGCAGACTAAACTGCAGAAGCCTGTGCTGTAGAGTCAGAAGACCAGCAGTTGTAAGAGTGAATCCACACAACGGAGTGAGCTCCCATCGCTTTGTCCCACCTCCTTGCCAACCTAGCAGTTCAAAAGTATGCAAATGCGAGTAGATAAATAAGTACCACCTAGGTGGGAAGGTAAAACGGTGTTCCCTAGTCACGCTGGCCACGTGATAATGGAAACTGTCTTCGGACAATCGCTGGCTCTACGGCTTGAAAATTGGATGAGCACCTCCCCCTAGAGTCGGACATGACTGGACTGAAAATGTCAAGGGGAACCTTTACTTTTTACCTTTTTTGTCCATTGGAAGGTTCATTGTTAATTTCAACTGTCAGTCACACTGGCGGGTAGTGCGGAAGGCATGTGTTTTTTAGATGAGTTATGGCACCTAGCAGGGGCTGTAACACATCCTGGAGTTGAAGACCATGAGGCTTCTGCGCCAGGAGATAGACAAAAGGGGCTTCCCTGGGCACAGACCACTTAGAGTCAGGTGCCTCTGGCAGCCTCCGCTCAGTGGATAACCCAAGTTTATGGGAATTCACCATGAGAAAGTCTGGGTCTAGGGCAAGGCCGGCCCCAGATACAGATCATGTTTCTGCACTACTATAGCACCCTCCTCTACTTTGAAAAGGGATGATTATTTTCCTTGAGTTCAATAAAGTGTGGTCCTATTTTATATCCACTTTGTGTGTGTTGCCTCATTATTCCGGGCTGGCTGGGCAATGGGCAGTCTTGGCCAGTCATTGTTGTAAAAAAGTGTTGAACTCAGAAATTACCATTTTTAACTCTTATTTGGAAACATGAAAGTAAGTGAACTCCAGGGACTGCTAGATTTATAAATGAGCCAAAGTGGGCTGTGATGATAATGAAGGAGAGTGGGATTTGTAGTCATTGAGGATGAGAGAAAATGGAGTCTGTTAGGTTTCAAAGTGAAATGAGTTGATGACACTGGAATGTGGTAAAGGCTGAGAGACTGTTTTACCTAATTTGCAGCTAGGCTGGTACAGAGTGAAATCCTGATAAGTGTGCAAGGTCGAGGAGGCCCAGTGCGAAGATCCAACAAATTCCAGTCTACTGTAATTGGGAAGGAGATAACCTATCTGCATCTCCGTGAGAATTGGAGGCGGAGTGAGCAGTTATGCCTCCTTGAGTTAATTGGTTTACAGCCATGAAGAAGGAGGTCCAAGGGGTGTAGAAAAGATGGAGGAGAAGGGATGTTGAGAGCTCTCTCTTAGCTTATGCCAAGCTAAGAAGGATTGATGGTGGATTGAGTTATGTAGCTGGATGTTTACAGAATATAGAATGGTAAGGAGAAGGAGGGGTGGGATTAGCCCACCACAGCTTAGATTTTAGAGCTTCTTATTTTTAATCAGAAATAACTGCTTTATTTAACTACTATGAACTTTGAACATGTTATTATGTTACTACTTAAGCAAAACAACAGTTTCTATGAATCTTTATTTTCTTAATAAAAAATAAAAAGAGACTCCCTGACCAAACGCCATACTCTCATTAGGGAAGTTTGGTTGTGCTCACATGGGCCATTACCTCAGGGGGAGCCTGTCAGAAGGGACCATCCTTTATACAAAAGAATAATAATTTTAAAACTAGTGTTTTTAAAATTAAACTTTATATTGGGAAACAAAGCTTCAAGAATGCAAACAAAACTTTGCTTGCAATAATCTATAAAACTGCCTGGATTAATCATCAAGTAAACTAAGCAATAATTAGGGCCTCAAGGGAAGGGGAGGGCCCCACAGAGTTTGCAAAGGGAAGGAGACCAGATTTTTGCTCTCTTTGGCTGAAGCAAAGATCTGGAGGAGATCTCCTCATTCCTTCCACTTAGCTGGAAGGAAGTGGAGACCCACTCCAGATCTTTTCTTCAGGTGAGGAGTGCAAAGATCTGGTCTTTTGCAAACTGCTATAATTCTCCTTCCTTTTTGCAAATTGTGCACAAGCATAAAATGTCTCCTTCCTTCCCAGGGTATAAATTTTAAAGAAATGTTGGTGGCTGAACCACACATAGTTTATACCCTTGAGAAAGGTAATCTACGATTGTGTGTGTGTATGTATGTGTAACTGTAACCTCACAATGACCTCAGATTATACTCTCATACAAAAGAACCAGTATGCCATGGAAAATTTAGCTGCCAGGTGCTCTAAAGAGAAAGGTTTCCAAAGAAAGAAATGAAAGAAATGCTGCTGTCTTGGTAAATACAAAGTGCCTTACACATTTTTCTTTAACAATGGAAAACAGAAGCTAATGATGAAGGACCAGTTCCAGATTCCCTTCTGAGGAACCACCCCTACTTCCAAGTACATCTACAGAAAATGAGAGTAACATATCCAATCAAGATATTGAAGGTGATGGAACATCACATCCTACAGATACTTTAGACATGGACAGTGAAGCACCATCTTGTGATCCGGGCCCAGTCATGTGGCTTTCTTTAAGAGAGCAGCATGTGTCCTTTTGGTCAAAAGTAACTGTGATGTGTCAAAACAAAAATGACTGATTCCTACCCAGAATCTTGACACCATTGTTATTCAATGGGCACTGTTGCTGTTTCAAAAATTCCATGTTTACACTACTCATGACAATGCTGAGCAGCATTTCAGAAAATGACACCTGCACAGCCCATCAAAATCTGGTGTTTATTGCTTTTATTGTATTTTGATGTCCAGAGGGTGTGACAGATTTTCCCGTTCCCGTAAGGATGACTTTAACGATCAGGGGGAAGAAAAAAAAAACAGCAGGAAAAAGAAAAACTCATGAACAAAGCCAAGGCCACAGAGATTCTGTGTTGAAGTTCAGTTTTCAACGTAGAGAATCTCATGTTGACAGGAGTTGGAAAAACGAGTGGAGGAAAAGAAGAAATACCTGAAATGGAGTACTGTGGCATGTTACAGTTGTAACAATTTTTTTATCTGAGAGAGTCCTGACTTTAGGGGTAGTGAAGAGATCATAGGATCCAAGCATAATGGAATTTATTTTTTAGGAAACGAAACTGATTGCACCATTTGATCCATTTCTGATGGATCATCTTAAAGAATTTGGCAAGCCTGGAGGAGGTAAGCAATCATACTTGTCACCAACCATTTATGAAGAAATTGTTATGCTGATAGCAAAATATGTTTAGAATTATATTTTGGCAAAACTGAAAACTGCCAAGTACTTCTCAGTTTCCGTAGATCTGGCTTATGTTGACCAGCTAATGGTCATGCTGTGAATAATATTTCTGGGTAGCCAACAGAAAGTTTTTTTAACTTTCCTGCAGACTGGCTCTCAGAAGACTGACATTCTAGCTACCTCTCTTCTAGAACTTCTAGAAAAAGATGGTATTAATTTTGAAGACTCTAGAGAGCAGTCACAGTGACAATGCTACGAGTAGCAATAAGTCCAGGAATGTAAGCCAGAAGTAGTGCTGAACCATCATACTCCATCCCTCAATAGATAGGATGATATAGATGCCATTCTCAGAGTAGTAAGGAAACCTTCACATGTATATATATATATAATTATTTTATATATAATTATTAATTTGCTAGCTGAGCAAAATGTGTCAAATACCTATGGTCTCTTCATAATTCGATGAATGTCATGCAATTGATGGAAAATGATCAGTGAGAACTGCAGCACAAGCACCAAGAAAAATATCTGTCTGGTCTGTTTCACTATATTGCAGCAGCAGGAAGAGAAGAGGAATCAAAAGTTGGATCTAATCCAGAAATACCCACAATGAAACAAATCTGTTTTTTTAGGATCACTTTTTTCTTTTCTCCCTCTTCTCCCTCCAGCCAAACTAAGAAAAAAAAGATTATTTACTGTTATTATGAATATAATAGCACACTCTTCTGTTTCTGATGTTGGTGTCTCTGTATCACATTCAGTTACCTACCAGAATTTATCCCTGCTGGTACTGTTTAATGCACTTCCCCTAGTGCTGCTATTTCCAGATTAAACAACAAATTTTGCAAGGCTCATCCTTGCTTAGTAATTTTTAATTGTTTGGAGTAGCTTTTAGGAATCAAATGCTTTTAGCTTAATCAATTGTTTTCTTGGATACCTGTTATTATTAAATCTTTAAACTGAGTGGCTGGGGTTATCATATCTATTTGTTCTTTATATGTCATTTTTATCCTGCCAAGAGTGCTTGAGGCTACTAACATGCATCTCTAAAAAGAAACTTAACATTAAAATTGTTAAAATAATCAGAATTTCACAGTTTCAAAGCAACATGGGTTTTTCTCATATGTCGGTCAAGCAGGAATCTAGAGGCAACAGCATTATGACTATAACCTTACCAGAAGATTTTAACACCTGGGCAGATTCATAATAATGATAATATTAATAATGGATCATCAAGTCTAGCCCATGTCAAGGAGGCATCATGGGGAATCAAACTCCCAACCTCCACCTCTGCGGCCAGAGAACTAAACCAATGAGCTATCTAGCAGTGAAACAGAGGGGCTCTTAGGAAGCCAGGCCCTAAGCCTTTCAGGGCTTTAAAGTTATTGTTCGTTTTTAAACACCTTGAATCAGATCTGGAAAGCAACTAACAGCCACAGCAAGCCTCTAACATTAGATGATGTTGAAACCACACAGCAGCAAGGTAATTAGCTGCTATATTTTGAGGGAAACGTCTGGCACTTTTCAACGGGAGCTACATGTACAGCTCATTGTATTAATCAAGATGCCAAGTGAACAAGGAGTGGGTGACTGTTGCCCAATCACATCAGGAAACACTGAAGCTATGACACAAAAGAAAAACGACCAAAAGAAAAGAAACCCACTTGCAAAAGCATCTCTTGCTGCTGTTGCAATTTAGGGAATACAGGGATGGGAAAGGTTTAAGAAATATTCTAAGACTATGATCCTGATTTGTCAGGAGGAAAGTAACCTATTTCAGAACAAGATGAAACCCAATCCCTAAACCAGACTTTCTACTGAGTGGCAGCATTTCTTCTGTCTTGAATTCAGTTTTGTTTGTTGACCTTCATCTTAGCCACTACCAATGCCCAGTAGCATTTAAGGATATGCTTCCTCAGTACTAGGTGACAAAGGGCAGTAGAATCACATCAGTGACACCCTCCCCCCAATGTTTTGAATTGTCTCTTCTGGGACCTTCTAAGAGAAATTGAACAACATGGGGGATAGAGTAGAACTTGGTGGTTCACTGGATGCCAAAAAGCTCTGTTGTCAAAACTGGACATAACTTGTAGCAAAGATGAGACACCAGTATCTCTGAAGAGGAGCACTGTAGTGTCAGATCCAAAACCTGTGTCATGTTGCAATAACCCAGTTCTTGGAGAGACAACTCCACATGCTTTTTCTCCAAGTTTTTAGTAAGGTCCATGTTCCCTAACGTAATAAATTAGATTGGAAGCCAGCTTTCAAATTTTGTGTTTTTCAATGAATCCTGAACAGTAACATCTATATTGCTCTCCTCACCTAGATTAACTGTTAACATGTTTCAAGAAAAAGTAGTACAATTACCATGACTGTGGGGCTTCCAAAAAGCTGTATATTTTCTTTGAGTAATTGCAGTAAGCGTTGAAATATGGGATCTTCATATTCAAATTGCTTCCCAAGCAGAATGGACACTATAATATTTGCAACAGCTGCGTTCATAATTGTGGTTGCCTCAAAAGGCCTACCTATACAAAAATGATTAGAGAACACTATATAGATAAAATGAAGGTATAAAATCGGTAATTTATCCTTAGTAAATTTCCTTCTCAATGACTGAAGACACCAGCGTTAGTGTACTCATGTGAATTTTGCATGTTTGTAATGAAATGGAAAGTCCATTCCCAAATATGCATGATTTTCAAAGAGGTTGTTCTTTTGTTTAAGAGCCTCGTGGCATAGTGGTTAAACCGCTACAACTGTGCTCACAACCCGGGGTTCAATCCCAGGTAGCCGGCTCAAGGTTGACTCAGCCTTCTATCCTTCCGAGGTCAGTAAAATGAGTGCCCAGCTCGCTGGGGGGGCAATGTGTAGCCTGTATAATTAAATTGTAAACCGCCCAGAGAGTGCTTGAAGCACTATGGGGTGGTACATAAGCAGCACACTTGGCTTTTGCTTTGTTTTGTGCCATCAGGTTGCCCCCTGATGTATGGCAACCCCATGAAGGAGTAATCTCCAAAATGTCCTGCTCAAACAAGGAAATAAAATGCATCTTTATCTGACAACTCTGTCTATAACAAACAATTGTGTCTCTTCATATTCTCTCCTAACAGGAGCTCCTTGTCCGCAGTACATTACACAACAGGACAATCAAGTGTTGAAGCATGCCCTTTTTTTCCCCATGGTCCACACAGACAAAAAGTTTGCTAGCAGTACAAGTTACACAACAGGACAATCAAATGTTGAAGCATGCCCATTTTTTTCAGAACAAACCATAATTTTCCATGGTCCACACAGACAAAAAGTTTGCTATATTCTATGAAATATAGATTGATCTTTTGAAACTCTTTGGTGAACTCCAGTAGCTAAAAATAAATAAATACTAAATATGAAAAAGGACTGTTACACAAGAATTATTTAGGTGTATCAACATACAAGAGACATAGAAACATTATTTCCAGATAAATGTTTCAAAATTCCTATTATGGGAGTAACCACTATTATATAGTTCTGTTGCAGATTATAATACAGAGTTCCAAAAGAAAATATCAACCCACTCACCTTCATAAGATTCAAACTTCTTTACCAGGACATTGCACTCCTCAACAATTTTGTCTTCTGTCGATCTCTTGCCCATTCCATAATCTCGCAGTGTAGATAAGGCAAACCGCCGCATCACTTTCCAGTTCTCACCATGAGAAAAAAGGATACCTTGAGGAGAACAGTCAATGACACAGTTTCTAATTGGTACCAAATGTACACCACCCACCCTGCAATGATAATGAGAAGCAGATATGTAAGGTGATATCTTGAATACTGTAGAAAATCAAAGAGCTAGGCCAGTGGTGGCGAACCTTTTTGGGCTTGTGTGACCAACCTGGGGGAGAAGAAACACCACACACAACAACCAGCGAGTGGTGTGCTGCAGCGGCTGCGGCAGCAGCAGCAGAACTGGAAGTGGTGGTGGCAGAACCAGAAGTGGCAGCCGAAGAGGGAATCCCAGGCACCCAAGTGCCTCAAGACCCCACTCCAGATCCACCACCAGCGCCAGCTGCTTTAGATCTGCCTGCTGAAGTGCCAGCACCATGGCTGCAGCCGCCTTCTCAGGTTTGGCTGCATGGGGGGAAGTAACAATCTGGCGACTTATGGCTCGCATGCAGAAAGGGCTCCGCATGCCAGCTGTGGTGTGTGTGCCATAGGCTCGCCATTGCTGAGTTAGGTTGTAGAAAGCAATGTGTGAGAGCACGGATAGTTCCATCCATCACTCAAAGACTAAGCCAGTTTGTTCATTCCAACCATCTACATCTCTTGATTACCCTTGTGAAGCCCTGTGAAACTGAACTCTCATTTCTTTTACCTATAATGCATAGCCTCTGCTAGGTGCCTCCTGCTCATCTTTAGGGTTGTCTTCAGATCTGACTTCTACAATCACTCCTACCTTTCACTTCGCTAGCTCCCTCAGTCCTCCGGATGGTGGGAATGCTTCCCTTAGTTCCTTTCTTGTGGCTTACTTTCCTCCCCTATATACAGTGGTACCTCACTTAACGGGTGCCCCGTTTAACGACGAATCCGCATAGCGATGAAGATTTTGCGATCGCTTTTGCGATCGCATTGCGATGTTCCCTATGGGGAAAAATCGCTTTGCAATGATCGCTTCCCCCCTGATCATGGCAAACGCCCCATTTTTGCACAGCTGATCAGCGGGGCCGCGCGACCTTCACAAAGGCCTGCTGATCAGCTGTGCAAAAATGGGCCATTTGCGATAATCGGGGGGAAGCGATCGTCGCAAACGCCCCATTTTCGCACAGCTGATCGGCTTTTATTCGCGATAAAAGCAGCGGAGAGTGAGGAAGCTGAATTACCCTAAAATGGGGCATTTGGGACGATCGCTTCCCCCGATCATCTCAAACGCCCCATTTTCGCACTGCTGATCAGCTGTTCCAAAATAGCCACCAGGTAAAGAAAATGGCCACCGCTGTGTTTTCGCGCCCTTTCCTCGCTTACTGGGCAGTGAAAATGGCAGCCGCATGGAGGATTTTCGCATAACGGTGAGTTTTTCCCCATAGGAATGCATTAAACATGTTTTAATGTGTTCCTATGGGCTTTTCTGCCCTGCATAGCGATGAATCCGTATAGTGACGATTTTTTTCAGAACGGATTATCGTCGCTATGCAGGGCACCACTGTATTAAAACCCCTATCACTCTATTCCATGATTACTTTCTCATACACCCAGCTGCCAATAGTTTATATCCATTTGTTAACCTGCTGGTTTTGGGCCTAGCTATGATAAGAGAGGTTTGTCGAGAGAAAGGACTTCACCATAGCCATTTGCATGTTCTTCAAAGATTGGGATGAGAGGTCTCTCCGCAAATGCATCAGCCTGGTTGACCAAAGCCTCTTTTACTGTCTCGTACCCAGTCAGGACCACCATCTTCTGGAATCCCATTTGGAGGCTGAAGACAGGACCATACTGTTTGGACAACTGGAATTGAAGAGAAGGAAATGTCAGAAACATGCTTCTGGCCATCAGAAATGGAGATAGATTTCAATCTTCCTCATTGCCAAGGTTAATATTATTTCTTCTAAATTTCTGTTTGGAGAGAAATTTGTGATGCTGAGGTTACATATGACATTGTTGGATTATATTGTGTATTGAATTCTGCTATTTGTTTTAACCCAGATAATATTTCCAAGTTTCACTGAGTAGAAACTATCTCTGAATTAGCAGGGCTGACCTGAAAAAATGTGTAAGAGTGTCATAGGTTTTGACTTTTTGGAATCTTTTTTTTTAAAAGAATGTTTTCTAACTTTTAACTCTACTTTGTCTAAATTAATACAAAAATTCTGCTTCTGCTGATACTAATACCAAATAAAGGTAAAATTCACAGCCATAAAAGCAGCACTGATAAACATATTACTAGAAAGAACAGTCATTGGCTAGAACCTTGTTTACTTAATGTAATCATGGAAGTCTTTTGCCTCTCCAGTAGGCATTCTGTCATGTACCAAACATAAATGCTTATGCTCCTGGGCTTAAAAAGAGGAGCAAACAAGACTGAAAATAACACTGTGTGAGTGCTTGATATGCACAGGAGTTTTTTTCCCAATCAGATTTGGGTCATCATCACTATCATGGGTACCACTGCCCTACACCAGTGCATCCCCTCACATCAACAGTAGCAGCTCTAGCAAATATTTTAGGGTGCAACTAGATGTTCAAAATATCACAAGCTGATGCTTAACAAGGTCACTTTGAGGTGTGATATATCATTTGGGGTGATCCTTGCATCCATAGGCAAGGATTGATCACAGTGTTCCTCAAGCAACCCTATTTAGCATAATCAAGACTTCTATGTCTCTAAAAGAATGCTTCCCTTTTCTAAAGATCATTAAGCAGTTAAACTTCCAAAGTATGGAAGTAGAAGTAATTTAACAGTTTTGAGAAATAGAAATTTACCTTGCTGCTTATCTTTGCAGTGGAATGAAGCAGACATTTTACATTTTTTAAAATTGTTGCAAACACACACAGTGTATCAGCAATGCTCTAAAAGCACTTTAAAATAGCCCATTCAAAGCACTGCTGATGTGTTAGAAACAAAAAGAAATGGAAAACTTCCCCTCCCTTACCCACCATTCATTAGGGATCCTTCAGTCTCGAAAGACTATGGTAATGTGCTATGTATGGAGGACTTGGAACAGCATCTAGTGCGGCTGAGGAGGCCAATTTGAGAGTGACAATCCCTTCCACACTGAAGACAAATACAATCTGTCCCCTGTCCAACTCATTGATTTTGCTGCTTTTGTGACTTCCTCTTTGCCTCTGCCTGCTGGACAAGGCTTTCTTCAAATTGGGGGAGGCCATGATGCGCCGCCTGCCTCCAGGCTGAATGCTAAGATGTCAGGGTTTCCCATCTGCTGAGTACCATTCCTAAGACCTTCAGATCCCGCTTGCAGATGTCCTTGTATTGCAGCTGTGGTCTCCCTCTGGGGCGATTTCCCTGCACTAATTCTCCATACAGGAGATCTTTTGCAATCCGACCATCAGCCATTCTCACAACATGCCCAAGCCAATGCAGATGTCACTGTTTCAGTAATGTATATATGCTAAAAATTCCAGCTCCTTCTAGGACAACTCTATTTGGAACTTCGTCCTGCCAGGTGATACCAAAAATGTGTCAAAGGCAACGCATATGGAATATGTTCAGCTTCTTCTACCATGCACAAAGGGGCCAGGACTCACTGCAGTACAGGAGTATGCTCAGGACACAGGCTCTATAGACCTGGATCTCAGTATATGCTCTCAGCTTCTTATTAAGTCATACTCTTTTTGTGAGTCTAGAGAACATGGTAGCTGGTTTGCCAATGTGTTTATCCAGCTCGACATCTAGAGAGAGGGTGTCAGAGATCGTTGAGCCAAGGTACACAAAGTCATGAACAACCTCCAATTCTTGTGTGGAGATGGTAATAGAGGGAGGTGAATCCACGCCCTAGCCCATGACTTGTGTTTTCTTCAGGCTGATAGTTAGTCCAAAGTCTTAGCAGGCCTTGCTAAAACGATTCATGAGTTATTGGAGGTCTTCAGCAGAGTGGGCAACAACTTGATGGCTGGCATCAACTCCTCCGAATGGGCTTCGAAACAGTCTGCCATCTTTTTGGTCTTCTTGCTAAATGTGGACAAGGCAGTGTCAAAATGTTCCCTTCATTCAGGTACATTTGCAGCAGCCAGACCTGGAAGGGTTTCCTCAAGCGCTTGGGTAAATTCCTCCATTTTTCTCTGATTGCAAGTATTGCTGATGTCAATATGTGGCCTTCCTTCATTTTTCATGTGATACAATCTCTTTGTTCGCAGTTTTACTCTACTACACACCAGGGAGTGATCGGTATTGCAGTCAGCACCCTGATAACTGTGTGTGATCGTAATACTAGGAAGGCTAGAGAGTCTAGTGGGGATCAAATCGAGCTGATGACAATGCTTTGATCTTGGATGTCTCCAGGAAACTGTGTTGAAGCTTCGTATTAAAGAATATGCTGCTGACACAAAGACCATAATAACAGCAAAATTCCAACAAGTGTTGGCCATTTTTGTTCATCTTTCCAATGCCAAAACGGCCTAGACAAGTGGGCCAAGAATTGTGATCAGCACCAACTCTGGTATTAAAGTCTCTGAGAATGAACAGCAGCTCTCTCTCAGGGATTTTTTTGATAGTAGCTGCCATGGAATTTGTCTTTGACTTCTGATGTAGATGACAGCATTGGTGCATATGCACTAATGAGGGTGGCCAACCCTGCTGATGAGTGGAGCTGCAGAGACATGATCTTTCACTCCCCTCAGTAGGTGGAACAATAGATCTCAGCAGAGTATTTCTAACCACAAAGCCAACACCATATTCCATGGTATCGTTCAGTGGTTTTCCCTGCCAGAAGTATGAATTTTTTTTCTTTGACAGATCCTGAGTCTGGCAATTTTGTCTCTTGCAGGGCAACAATGTCCATCTGCGGCCTACTCAGTTCTATGTAGATGACAGCTGTCTCATATGCATTGTTTATTTCCTGCAGGTCATCAGAAAAGCCGTAGTCAGAAAAGCCAGGGGTCATTGTCTGAACATTCCAGGTGCCCAACTTTAGGGCAGAAATTTTCTTATGATTGTTGCATGGTGCAGAGTTATCAATCTGCTTTTCAGCTTTTACCCTAACCCCCCCACACACACCTTGTGAGGTTAGCAGACCATGGTTAGGCAGCACCTTACTGGCTGGGGACTGCCTACCTTAAGGCAGGTGGTAGCTACCTAGTGAGGTGCAATGACCTCTCCCACTGTCAGAAGTGGCCCCTGGCATCACGCTCTATGCCAATAAAGCAGAGACTTATAACCAGTAACTTCTATTTCCCTTGTTATTTTGATGCTGTATTCGAAGCTGGAGGGTCCTCTCCAGAGCATGAAGCCTGGGTAAAATAATATGGAGGATAGGCTGTTACCAAGCAGCAAATCCCCCCTCTCCACATCAGTAAAATAGTCCAATGGAAAGGCAAGAGCTAATACAACTGGTTCCAGCGACGTCGCAGGAGTTGCCAGAACATCACGAACTGCCTCTGGGACTCCGGCTTTGGATTTTGCCTTAGGGTTAACTCCTGAAGCCTTTTCCATCGATGGATACAGTCATAAGGCAGTGGCTATGGAACAATTATTGCCAGACTCCATAGACACTTTCTGAAAGAGCAGTCTCTCCTAATCCCCAAAATAGATCTCTGACTGAGTAAATTGCTGACTCTTTCCTTAACTGTGACTTTATCTTCCACATTCTAAACACGCAAACCAATCAGAATTCAATCACCCATCTACCCATTATTCTAGCACCCAGCCAATGCATGCTTACCAACCATCTGTCCACTGCCTAACAACACACAGACTGTTTATTCTTATTTCCATGTATGGCAGGCCTTCCCAGGATTTTATAGGTGCAAAGTACGCGAAGTGCTTTACCAGTCCCTCCTTCTGGGGGCACTCTGCCAGTGGCAAAGCTGCTTAAGTGGCAGGGCACATAACTGCATAAGTCACATTCCTTCTGGATAATTTCAACAAGTCTGTGTCTTCAGAGCGAAGCAGGTATTTGAACTTCCAGCCTTGGCCACTACAGCCAACCCTTTGAAAGATACCAGCCCTGTGAATAGTCTGTCTCAAAGGCTTCTCTCCTTTGGAGTTCTGGCATGATAACCCTTATGGTCTGGAGTTTGGGAGAGGAGATGTTTCTGGCAGAAGAGAAGGAAATATAATCACCTCTTCATGGGCTGGCTGTGAAAGGGAAACTAGCCCTTAGATTTCATCATGAAAGTTGTAAACTGGGTCTTTTCACCTGCACCCTTGATTTACAAACTTTAAAGGAGCTTCCTCCCTGAAGGATAGGAGGCACAAAGAAAAGAAAAACAAGATGCTTCTGTGAAAGGAGGAAAACAAAGTGACTGGGAATTGGAAGCCATTGACATGAATGGAGCAAATTGCATGTGTCATCTAGTGGAGAAAACATCTCCACCCAGCAGGCTTTGGAAAATGGAAAACAAACCTTTCTTCCAAGTAGCCTTGATAGTGCATTGGGTTGCTGAAAGTGCAGCAGTATCCACCAGTAGTTTCTCCTTGGGACCAGAGAGTGGAGGTTCCTCTGGTGAACTCAACATCCCCCTCTCCAGATAGTGGTTGTTGATTTCAACAGAGGAATCAGCCTGTCCTTTTCCTCAGCAGCTATGCTTTGCTCTGCAACTCCATGGCAGTGTAAGAGAATTCATCTTGCAACTAAGCTGTCTGGTTACTTGAAATCTTCTTTCTTTTAGCTGGAGTCCATTAATTCAGGCCCTTCCTTTTGGGACAACACAAAAGGAACCTATTGCATCTTTAAAATCAGGGGAATAGCACAATAAAAGTAGACAAACATGCACCCCTGTAGCAGACACACAGGGTTTTTTTTTTTTTTTGGCAATCCTTAACTCTTATCACTACTTCTCACCCAACAACCTTTTCTGTTCTTCCTCCTTTTGCTGCTCAGGTACTAACTTCCCATTTACCTTCCTACTGTCAGTCTGCCTCACAGAAACAGAACTATTGAATTAAAGAAACATCAATAAATCCCTGTGTGGCATACATTGTGCCCATTGTTACCTCCAGGTATCATTGTAGTTTTGGGGTGGGCGGGCTACAATGTTAATATAATCCTTGCTAGGCAGAAAAGGAAGGAATAATAATTCTTACTTTCAACATGGTCCTGTAAGGCCTTTTCTGATCCATTATGAGAAGATTTCCAACAAGCGGTAATGGCCAGGGTCCTGGGGGAAGAAGCTGAGAGCTGTTCTTCCAGAAACCTCTAGTTTTCAAAAGCAACATCATCATAATGCCAAACAGGAATGATAATGAAATGGGAGTAATCCAATCCATTTCTGTTTAAGAAGCAGTTTCCTGTAGTGCTTACAATAGAAGTTGTAATACAATTTGATTAGGAGCAAACTTGTGCTTGTTTCAGAATAAACTTTTTAAAGAAATATTTATTTTCCTAGTTTAGTTATTTTCTCTGGTGAATGATTAAACATATTAACTTAAACCAGATGTTCCACTTTGCCCCAGTTTTCCCCCCTCCTCATCTTCTAAAATCTATACTCCATTAGTTCTCCTTTACTTTGATGACTGAATGGTGACCCACAACTCACTTCTTCTTCAAATGAAACTGTGGCCAACAGGTTTGAACTGTATTGAGTCCTAGAAATCAGATGAGCTGCAACGTTGGACTATACTTAATTATACTGGATACACAGAGCAACATTATAAAGTCCTCTGTGGTGACTATTGAGTGGTATGTTTGAAAGTCTATAAAACCTTGTCATGTGTCCTGTCCACAGTGGGAAATTTGGTGCAGTTCCAGCAGTTCTTATCTTAATTGTGATCTGTTTCAACTCACACTTGATCAGTCTTCCATCCACTGTAGATCTTGCTACAGGTCCTCTTCTTCCATGCTAGAGGTCCATATAGAGCAAGGTTTACCTGGTGTATTCATAAGTTTAGCTTGTTTAGTCATGACTAAGAACGCAGCAGAAACAGAAGCTGAGGAGAGCTGCAGCCCAGGGGAGAATATTGATGTGAAGGTTTAGGGAGAACAGAAGGTAAACTTTCCTTTCTCCCATCTTTCTCCTCAGTCAGGATTCTCCTGTGGCTGTGCTTCATTGTGAGGGCAGAGTTGATGGAGTCAACGTAGCGCCTTTCCCTGCCTTTTCTTACGGCCACCAATCAAGGGGCTAGCATGATTCCCCCACACACTTTTTTTGATATATAAAGTAAGAGGCATATTGTAATGAGAATATGTCAACATAGCACGGTATTAGAATTTTGCTGTATTGGTTTGGGGAACATAAAAGAGACAAAGATAAAAATAGAAGAAGGATTTCTCTGCCTTGCCTTTTTAATGTCATAATCCACTTAATACATCACAGGGTTGTCGCCCCAGTTAACACCACCCACAGTTCCATTTTAGTATGAACTAACTTTCTGCATAGACTAAGTAAAGAGTTAATTGGGATTGTGCTGAATTGTGCCAAAAAATCAGTGCCCTACTGCTGTGCCAGAAAGGTGTGCAACAGCTCTCAAAGGGGAAGATGGATCAATCCAAATGGAAATATATGTGGATGGTGCCATTTGGCTCAATCCCCGCTGTGCCAACAGTGATCCATATATCAATCTATGTGCCAGTGTGGACAGGCAACTAATTCTTCTTTTGTGAAACCTTAAAAATACTTTGATGTCACGTGAAGAATTCAGGACTTCGAGATCTTGAAACAAGGCACTTTTCCTGAAATTAATAATCAGTGGAGAGGTGTCCTGATCAGGAAGATTCTTCAGAAAAGCAGGATTCCCAGAGTTCTTTGTACAAAAGTGTGACTTTCCTCCCCTTGTAAGGTTTGGTTGGGGGGGCATAGCTCTCTGCACAGGGTCTCTTTGCACACACAAACCCATTCAGAGCAAGGTGAGAAGCAACGGAAATAAATAAAGGCAGGGCTAGCTGGCCATATAAGGCATCCCTGTCCTCACCCCTGACCTTTCGGGTCAGATAGGCAGGATATA